CGCCGACGCCACCAGTCGCTCCGCCACAAGCGTATATGCGACCAGGCCTCAGCGGCTATGGGATACCGTCGGCAAGCCAGTGGAAGTTAAACATACGCAAGTTCGATGGTACAGAGCTGTACCGCGGACTCGGGAGCGGATTCTTTGATTGGGGGCGTACGTTTCTGCGCGCGGTGAGCCTCGCGGAAGCGTCGTGTGGTTTCGGATGGACCGAAGACGTCAAGGTCGACCTACTTGGACACTTTCTCGCCGGCACGGCTGAGAGGTACTATCACAAGCAGGTCGATACTTAGTGAACGCAATCACCCACACTGGAGTACATCATGGAGCAGCTCCTGCGCACGTTCAAGACGTCAATCACGGCAAGCCAGGCGATGAAGTTATTCATGGCCAAGAAGGACGCACGGCGCACCTGGGTCGAGCACTTCCTGTATATGGTCGCCGTCAGCGAGGCGCGTGGTGGTGCCGACTCGCTTGTTCTCGATAACATCGTCGACCATGCTTCGCCGAAGCTGATGAATGTTATGCGATCCAAGAATTAACCCACGCGAGTCAACTACCTAAGCCACACCGAGGAGTTGGCGCAATTCGCGCAGTCCATTGAGCAAGGCAGCAGCGCGGTGGGTCGTGAGGTCGCCGCCGCGCACATGGAAGGCAAACCAATGGCACGATCACGTGCTACCGATGTGGGCGACCAGGCCAAATCGCGGCCGACTGTCGCGCGCGAGTCGTGCACGACGACGAGACACCCGCGAACGGTGGAGGCGCCAGCATGATCCTTGCACTGACCGAGAAGCGCAGAGCGACCACGAAGAAGCGCAACAGAAGGAAGAAGGGCTCGCGCGGCAAGGGCGCCGCAGCGATCAATGCAAGCGATGGAGCGCGAGCCATGGACGACTCATGCGGCTTCTTGCTTGCGACGAGCTACGGAGTACGAGCCACGGACGGCACACGCGGCTTCGGACTTGCGGCGACCGATGCCATGGGCGTCGTCCGAGGAGACTGGATCCTCGATAGCGGAGCGAGCCGGCAACTTTCAAATGACGAGTCGCTGCTGCTTAACTCGACGGCTTGCAGCCACGAGATTGCGATGGCAGACGGCGAGTCGCTTCACTCGACGCGCGTTGGCAGCGTGTGCCTCGAGGTTATCGCTCGCAGCGCTGAGGCGGTAGTGACGCTCACGGATGCGTACTTGGCGCCGCGACTGGCTAAGAATATTGTGTCGTATGGCAAGCTTGCGAACAAAGGATTTACCCTAGTGCACTCCGGCGACAGGCGATCGCTCTCTCGGTGCAGCGATGGTGCGGTCGCGTTCGATGTCACAATCGACAGCAACGTGCTGTATGTCGCGACGAAGGCTACGCGCGACGAGGAAGGTGCAGGCGGCGGCGCGATCATGGCGGCTCTCGAAGCGCATGCAACGGAAACCAACGCCGACGAGCCGCACAAAGCCTCGCTGTTGCACTGGCACCAGCAACTTGACCACCTTGCGTACGACACGATCGAACGCATGGCGCGAGATCCGGCATCAAGCATTCGGCTCAGCAACAATAAACGCATGGCGTGGTGTCGTGCCTTGAGGGCAAGCATATGCGCAACGCGCAGTTCCAACAAGACAGCGGCACGCACTCGCCCATCGATCGCATCGGCGGCGTCATATGCTCGAGCCTGAAGGGTCCAATGACTCCGCAGGACCGACTCAGCAATCGTTTCCTTGTGAACTTCATTTATCACAAGAGCAACTACTGCCGAGTCTTCCTCGCGCGCACGAAGGACGCTGCGGCGAAGCAGTTCGAGGCGTTCCTCGATGATTTCAAGAAGCTCTTTGGGTTCAAGGTCCACGTACTCCGCACGGACGGCGGCAGAGAATACGCCAACGTGGACCTGTTTGGCGAGCGCACGGGCGTCGCGCGCCAAGTGTCGGAGGCGCGCAATCAGGCCTCAAACGGCAAGGCGGAACGAATGCACCGGACAGTGCTGAACCTCGCGCGCAGCATGATGTTTGCCTGCGCGCTGCCCCTGGTGTTATGGGGAGGTATGGTGCTATACGCCGTCCACATCCTCAACCGGAGCCCCACGCGAGCAAACGCAAAGAGAGCGTCACCACTCGAGGTGCTGACGGACAAGACGCCGGATCTGCGTGGAATTGTCGTTTTTGGCTCCCAATGCAGCGTGTATAGGGACCCGCGCAAGAACTTGCTGCTGCAGCGCTCGACGCGCGCCATTATTGTCGGCGTCAGCGAGGAAACCAAGGGATACAAGGTGCTGCTACCGCGTGACAACAAAGTGGTCGTCACGCAGCACATCAAATATATCGAGTCATTGACGGAGGCGCAAAACGCGCAACTCCAACGCGCGATGGACGTCGGTGACCGAGCCGGAGGCCAGGTAGAGACGGACGCGCCAGCAGCAGTGGCGAACGATGGTCGCCCAGAGAGCAACAGGGCGACGCGTAAAAGCAGAAAGCGATGGACGCGAGCGGCGCATGGAGCACGCGGGGCGTCGAAACGCGCAGAAGCGGCTGCTCGTCAGGAGGAGACAGTCGCGAGCGGTGAAGCCGTAAATGCTGCTTTCGAGCACGATCCGCTTAACTACGGACAGGCGATGCGCAGCGGCAAGCGCGAAGGGTGGGAGAAGGCGATGCAAGAGGAGATCGCCGCGCTCGAGGCCAACGACGTCTGGACCATTAATAGGAAAACGGCAGGAATGCATGCGCTGCACACCAAATGGGTCTACAAGACCAAGACAGATGCGCAGGGCGACCTCGAGCGGCTGAAGTCGCGACTGGTGGCTTGTGGCAACGAACAGGTGCTTGGCATCGACTACACGCTCACCTTCGCTGTCGTGATGGACCTATCGATGGTCAAAGTGATCCTGGCGCTTGCGTCTACGTGGAAGGTGCCTGCCAAGCACGGTGACATCCCCAACGCCTACGTTAAAGCGGACAAGGAGCCTCACCTCCGCATCTATCTACAGATGCCGCGCGGCATGCCAGTCCCGGAGGAGACGCTACGAGCGCAAGACGTTTCTAACGCGAGCGAGCTGGTGCTGGAGCTGCTGAAGAGCATGAACGGGCTTAAGCAGGCAGGCCGGCTGTGGAGCCAGCTGCTGCACTCGAATCACTCTACTGCCGGTTTCACGCGGTGTGAGAGCGACATGTGTTTCTACTGGAAGCGCGACGGCGACGACCTCGTCGTGGTCGGCGTGTATGTCGAAAATCTTCTGGAGACGGGGACGAGCGCGGCGGCGAGCGATCGGTTCTTTACAAGCCTCGCGTCGTTGTCGATCAAGGACCTGGGGCGTGTCAGCAAGTTTCTGGGCATGCGCGTGACGCACGACGGTCATAATGGGTACATGCTCGATCAGGAGGAGGCCATCAAAGATCTCCTACGCGACAACGGACTTGCTGACGCCAAATCGACGTGGACGCCGATGGACGATAGCTGCTAAGAGTTGAAGGAGGGCGACGCGGAGATTCTTGGGACGCCAAGAGCGCAAATAGGAGCGACTGTGCGCCAGTTCCAGTAGCTGGTCGGCTCGCTGCTCTGGATGGCGCGTTGCACGCGCCCCGATATAGCATTTGCCATGCACAGGGTCACGAGACGAGCACACGCGCCTCGACTAGCAGACTGGAAATTGGCTAAACGAATCGCGCGATATTTTAAGGGAACGGCGGCGCTCAAGGTCACGATGATCCCAGAAGACAATCTAGGTGCGGCGGTGCGCCTAGAAGCGTTCAGCGACGCCTATTTTGCCGCCTACAAGACGGACCGGAAGTCAATGACAGGCGGCATCGTGATGCCGAACGGGATGGCCGTCAGCTGAGGTGCGCGGAAGCAGGGAGGCGTCTCCCTGTCGACGATGGAGGCGGAGTTTGTCGCGGCGAGTGAGGTCGCGCGCGAGCTGCTCGGCCTGCGCGAGATGTTGTGCGAAGTGGGCGTAGAGCCCGCGCTTCCGATGCAGTTGCGGCTGGACAACCAAGCGGCGATCGCGCAGATCGCGGGAGAGGCATCGTCGCTGAAGGCAAAACATGTGGATGTGCGCCTTAAGTTCCTTTGCGACTACTCGCGTCGCGGTATCATCACGGCGAGGTATGTCAGGTCGGTGCAGATTCTTGCAGACCTCCTCACGAAGGCGCTGGACGCGACGAAGCTCTCGGCACTGCGCGCATTCGTGCGCGTTGGATAAGAAAAGGTCAAGGACGATCAAGGGTGATCAAGGAGCTCGAGGATGGAAGAGCACAAAGACAAGGACATCTGCAAGCTCAAGAATTGGCACCTGGTGTGAGGGCAAGTCACGACCGAGGAGGAGTGTAGGAATGTTGGAAATAGGTGCAAGGGTACGTAAAGGCGATCGGAGTGTCCGGCCGATGACTTGGGGTTTTATTTGGAAACATGATGTCACAAACTTGCTGTGCGCACAAGATGGACGCAGAGTGACAAGCAGGATAGTGCTTCGAGTAGGGCTAGAATGCGTGTGAAATGGATGACTGGAGCAGAGAGCTTTGGGGAGCATGGAAGAGAAGAGAGAACTAGTAAGAAAAATACAAAAGTATCTTATTGTTCACCTAACGCTTCCTTCTCGCAACACGCATCTTGCCAACATGTACATTGGATAATCTGATATCCTATTGTACCGATCCATCGCGCGGGCATGTCGATAGTTGCTCAGATACGGCAATTCGACGAACGAGCGACGCAGCAGCTAGAGCTGTAGATTGCATCTTCACCAAATAACAAAATCAGATCCACAAGTCATGCACTTCCAACACCCTCTACTATCGCGTTTTTTCCCCGCTCTATCCAGTCGGCTAAAAAGCACGTTTTGAAACAGTTGAAACCCCTTCCGTCGCGCAGTGTGTGCCCTATCGGCCCCTTTCTTCCTCCCTATCCGCCGCTCCACTGACTCTCTTCTCTCTCTCTCTCTCTCTCGCCACTTTCAAATATTCTCCGACCCCCTAACAGTCATTTGCCCTCCACACTGAGTCGCCGTCAACGGCCATGACGTCGCCGCAAGTGCCGCTCAAGATCGCGTTCAACGGGGACATCCACCGCACGCGCGTCGACCTGCGCGACCTGACGCTGTTCCGTCTCACGCAGCTCACGGCGCAGACCTTTGGCCTGTCGCCAGCGGACTTTGTCGTGCAGTACCGCGACGCAGAAGGCGACTGCATCACCGTCGAGACCGACGCCGACGTGCGCGAAGCCGTGCGCGCGTTCCAAGACGCGCAGCAGCAGTCGCTCAAGTTCTCGGCCCGTACCCGACGCCAAGTGGCGTTCCAGGAGCAGGTGGCGGACCCACTGGTCGCGTCCGTGGAGCAGCTCATGCGGGCGCTGGCCGGAACGCTCGAGCAGCTCAAGTGCGACGCGCACTTTGCGTCGAGTGCGGCGCCGAACGTGGTGCGGGCCGAGACCGCTCGGGACGCGGCCGAGTCCCCCAAGACAGCAGCGAGCGGCTTCTCGAGCTTCGCCCAGGGCCTCGTGGGTCAGATCAACCGCTTTATCCCCGAGAAGAAGGCGGGCGAAGCGCCAGCGGCGCTGCCCAACGTGCCGGCGGCTCTGCCGGACCCCGAGCCAGCGGTGCAGGCCGAGGCGCCACCTGCGCCGTTGGTACCTGGTGGGGGTACGGACGCGGCCGCGCCGACGCCGCTCGTTGCCGCGACGCACGAGACGCCGTCGATTGCGTCGTCGGTGGCGTTCTCCGAGGCGGAAGTCAAGTGGGCCGAGCAGCTCTCGGTCGTGAGCAGTATCCTGCCGAACGTCAGCCCGGCGCGCATCATCGACGTACTGGAGAAGAGCGGCGGCGACCTCAACGTCGCGCTGAACGTGCTCACTGAAGAGAACTGAGGAGACGGCAGACGACGCGCTGTGCGGTGGCGCATAGCGCGCGTGTGGGTTTGTGTGTGTGTTTGCCGGTCGCGTGTTGTCCGACGGACACACGTAGCGCACGTGCAGCTCAGGTCCCTTTTGCTGGTCGTGTCGTTTTCGACAGGCGGTACGACAACGACAGAGTGAGTCGCCTCGTGACGGCACTGGTCTCCGTCCCGAGCAAATGTCGGCCGGCGTCGATCTGCTCTCGGTCCATATTCGATGATAAAGAAGAAGAAGAAGAGACGGCTTAGAGAAGGCAAAGCCACGTTCACGCTGGGTTTTCGTTCAGCGCCCTCTCGTTGTACTTGATCGTTGTATGTCGCTCTGCTTTCTCGGCGCTTTGCGCCCACCCACACGCCGCCAAACGACGACGGCCGGCCACCTCTCAGATTCGATATCGCGTGTTCGCTCGCTCGGCCAATAGCTCCGTCGCGCTCGTCCATCTGTGCCATGAAAACGTCGCGCGCGCATCAGCAGCTGCTGCCGTCGGCGCCGCCCGCGCGGGCCCTGCGGTACCGCCGCAAAGTCCCACCACTGCCCACAGAGAAGCCGCAGGTCGAGGAGCCGCAGCCGCAGCTGCCGGGACGCGTCCCCGCGCCGTCGCCGCCCGCGTCGAAACAACAACTTACAGAGCTGCAGCTGCAGCAGACGCAGAATGCTCAGCCACGTGCACGCGCGCAGGAGCTGCCCGAGAGCCGCCCGCGTCGGCGGTCGCCAGCCGATCGCCGCTTCCGGTCCGAGTCACGTCGCTCGAAGCAGCCGCCGCTGCTGAAGCAGGTGCTGTGGAAAGCCAAAGCCATGCAGCCCACCCCGGCGGCTCTGGCGCGGACACTGGTACAGCAGCAACGCGAGTGCACCAAAGAGGCAGAGCTGGTGCAGGAAGTGACAAAGGAGAAGCGCGTGGACGCAGCTGCTCGCGCCGTGTCGTCGACGTTTGTGGTCGGGCTGTCCAGTCAAGAGACGCAGAGCGGGTCGGAGGATGAGACGATCTTTCTGCCGTTTACGAGGGACGTGGTGCCAGCTGTGCGGACGTCGACTGCGTGGCAGGTGGGCAAGAGAGAGGAGAACGGCGGGGGAGGGCCGGACCGAGAGGACGCTGCTGGTCCCGTGACGCTGTCGGAGGAGGTGCTGGACGACGAGGGTGGACTCGACCAAGCAGCAGCGTCGACGCGCGTGACACAACGGCAGAAGTACAAGCTGAAGCAGAAACAGCGACGTGGCGCAGCAAAGGAGAAGAAACGGATGCAACATCAAATGAAGCAGGGCCACGAGCAGCTGTATGCTAGAGAAGACACGGGGTCGTCACTGGACGACGAGAACACAACGACAGACGCTGTTGATTCGCCCACGACGATGGACACGAGTGAGCCAGACGCGGCTGTATGTCGCTCCGTGCTCGTAGAGGTGAAGGAAGTAGAGCCATTTATTGTAGTGGGCGACGTAGCTTGTCCGGTCGTGGCTGGTTCCGACGAAGAGCTTGGTGTTGCTACTGCTGCGCCGGACGAAGGCGAGTTGGACGAAGCAAGTGCTCAGGAGGAGACTGTACAGGGGTCTTGTCAGTCTATGATTGACGCGTTGGATGAGATACGGGTGGAGTGCCGCGAGAGTTTTGTGGTGGCGAAGTCGGGTTTCGATGCGGCTTCGAGCTACGATTTCTTCAAACACCGTACGTTGTTTACGGCTCTGTCACCAATCGCTGCTGATGTGTTGAAGACTTACCACTGTGCTGTGACTGTCGCGCGTGTTGTTACAGGCTTTTGCGAAATCCAGAGAGACACTGGCATTGTGTACTACTGACGTCGCTGAGCTTGAAGGTGAGCTGCGCTTGTTGAATCAAAATCGTCTTTTGCCACTCCCGTGCGTTATGCAGTTGTGTTCCCTCTCTCGCTCTCTCGCTCTCTCTTTACTATTATTGCTACGCCCTAATCTAATATGTGCTCGAAAGCCCATGTGCTGTGCTACGCGCCAAAGTACTCGTTGCTGCCCCTCACGTCCATTCGATCGTAACCAGTTATCACCCGTGGCGTTCTTGACGCATCGTACGGACCAGCAGATTCCGACCCGGCGTACGGATACGCATCCGTTGGTTCTCGAGACTCGTCTGGATCACACACCTCGAGAGGGTCGGCACGCTTCGGACGAAGCCATACAGCCCCGAACACCAAAGCTGCTGCCACGATACACCCTACGATAATAAACAGGATCGTGCTTGTGCCCAGCGCGCTGTTCCCACCACTTTCCCCATCATTTACCCGAGTCTGACTGCCGCCAGTAGCCAGCGGGTCGACGCTGTCCGCGCTGTCGTCCGTGATCGGAGGTAACACCAACACACCGCTCGACGAAGGGGATTTGATCGGCGGACGCGTGACGCGCTCGCTCTTCAACGAACCGGACGAGGGAAACAACAACGGCGGAGCTGGCAACGACGGAGGCGGCGGACCTGACTCTGACGATGGCCGCAACAGCGGGCTGGGCACCGCAACTTCTCCAGCATACGACTCCACGCCATTATCGCTGTCCACACTGTCCAGACTTCCATCCCCTCTTGACTTGCTTGCTGACGACCAGAAATCACCGACGTCAGCACTTCCCGAGCTCGCGCCTGACCCGAAACCCACATTACCCAACCATGGCGAGGGATCTGAGCTGCTGTTCATAGTCGGGCTTGCAGCCGTAGCACGCGGCCCGACGACTGACCCTGTGGGCCCAACCCCTCTCGATCCTGTCTCCGGATAACTTCCATTTCCACTTGACGAAAGTGCCGCGGGCATAGTCGTAGGCACTGGCGTAGACATATTCGCAACGGAAACTTCTGGAAATGATCCAGTTTCGTTGCTGGCATCAGAGCCAGACGCGGATCCGGATACCACAACGGTCGATGTCGCTGTTGCCGAGATGTCGTCTGACGACCCTGACGCTGGTCTCTGTTCGGACGGTGATGGGGTCGTCAACAGCTGCGGACTTGTCGCATTTGTCGTCGAAGCAACCGGTGGCCCATCAGCGAGGTCCGACCCTGACTGTGACGAAGACGTTGCTGTGAATGGAGGCAATGCCGGCGGACTCGGAGTAGGCGCGAGCGCCAAATCTGCATCAATCGAACCTGACATCGTGCTCCATTCTGGTGGAGGCATCATGTCGGCCGAGCCTGACGTCGACATCGATTCGGACTGACTCGCCGTGTCGGTCGAGTCTGACATTGAGCTCGATTCGGACTGACTCGCCGTGTCGAATAAGTCTGACGTCGTGCTCCATTCTGGTGGAGGCATCATGTCGGCCGAGCCTGACGTCGTGTTCATTCCTGTAGGAGGCATCATGTCGGCCGAGCCTGACGTCGACATCGATTCAGACTGACTCGCCGAGTCAGTCGAGCCTGACGTCGACATCGACACCGATTCGGACTGACTCGCCGAGTCGGTCGAGTCTGACATCGAGCTCAATTCTGGTGGAGTCGTCACTGGTCCGCTACTGAACGGGCTTGACTCGGACACAGGTGACGGCGGCAGCCGTAACGGTTGCCGGAGTTGTAGGAGGTGCCACGGACGGCGCCAATGTCGTCGGCATCGGGATTGATGAACCAGCATCAGCGACTGGAGTTGCAGCCACTGGAGCAGACGTGGCGGCTAGTACAGACCCTGATGGTGCCGTCGTCCAACCCGTAGCCCCTGTCACAGCAGCATACTCCGGCGCTACTGGAGCCAGAGTCGCCACCACCGGAGACGAAGGCGGCACCCCGTGATCTTCTTGCACTACCGCAGCAGCCGATGTCGTAGCAACCATAGGGGCAGTAGCCGTCGCAGCAATTTTTTGGGTGGTCGCGCCCGCCACTGGATCCAACGTCAAAGCCATCGTCCGCGTGTCTCGACCGCCTGCCTCAGGTACTACCGACGCACGTCCTTCCGCAGCCTCTGCAGTTGTCGTCACTGGCAAAGCCTCTGTCGCGTTCGTTGTCCTCGTCATCACGTCAGCAGACCGCAGACACACGACGTTCCGCTCTTCGGTTTCGCTAATGAGGACGCAGCCCACTGCACCGCTAGTGCGGTCGACCACCGCACAGCAGCTGTCCGTCGGGAGCTCCAACTCGCCCGAGACGTCCCACTGACCCGCGAGCGGACACGAGAGCCTCTCGTCAGCTGCCCCGCGCCCAACGCCTTCGCACGGGCGCACGTGCACGCAGAAAGCCCCCGGCACGCCCACGACGTGCGCAGACTGCGCTCCGAGTCGGTCGCACTCGACGGCGTCGCTCGGCCGCCCCCACGCGCTTTCGGACGAGACGCCGAGCGCCACACTGAGGACGGCAGCCGCCCTCATCCACTGTGGCGATTGCTGTTGTTGCTGCGCGAGTGACGGACGGCGTCTGCCTACGGCCGCTCCGACGTCGGCGTCGTTGGCACGGCACTGCTGGACGTGTGTCTGTGTGTGGGGGGTGGGGGTGTACGTACGTACGTACGTGTGGGGTCGTTGACCTCTCGTCCGAGTGAGTGCGTATCGCCTGCGGTGTCGGTCGTCTTCTTCTATTTATACGGCACGACCGGAGGCAGTCAAGAGGGTCTGAACACACAGCGAGCGATGGACTTTGACGCCCGAAGGAAAACAAATGTACGTACGTCTGTACGTCTGTACGTCGAGGGCGAGTGAACAAGTGGCTGCTGCTGGATGGGCCGTAGTAGGAAAGGGGGCAAAGCTGTGTGCGATGTTCTCTCGGCGATCAGCTGGGGACCAAAAGGAGCCACAACTCGGCGTGCCGCACGGCCGCTGATCCGCTCGACGGGGTCCACGACCACCTGCTCGAGTTCGTTTCGGGCTGTGGACACGCGCGCACTGTTGGCGTCGTGCACGAACGGGACGTACTGTCTGGCGATGGACACGCAGCATACACTTTTGTTTCACTCTCGCGTGACCCGTTCATTGCTCGCGTCCCGATCGTTGGCGTCGTCAGCGAGCAAAGATTCCGTCCGACAGCACGTCTCCGATCTTGAGTCGCTATGGACTGATACACGCACGAAGCAGAAGGAGTCGACGTCGTTTGGCCGCGCCAATGGCCCGTTGTGGTCCATTGGTTAGTTTGCTGGCTACTGGTTGCACTGTGAGCAGGAGCCGACTACTTGACAGGTCGTTGACGCTGCAGGTGGACGTGTGCGTCAAGAGGTCAGTTGCATTGAGATATGCGGAGAAATGATGTCCTGGCATGCCGTATAGCACAATGCAGCAGCTTTGGATCGACGTTGTGCGGTACGTGTTGTGCGTCGCACGCTCGCACAGGACGCTGGAAGACGCACTTGCGAGGCACCGAGAGATTGACTAGACTTCGATCGCGTCCTGCGTGTCGAGCAAAGGAAGACAGACTTGCATTTGCTTGGGCAAGTTGCACACACGACGTCAATGGTACAAGTAGTCGACTTGTGCTCTTGAGCCAAAAACAAACGCGGTAGCGCTCTGGTTCCCTGCAGTTCTTTGCCGACGGCGCGTCGATAGCAGCGTCTCGTATTCGTGCCGTGAGTCGCATTGCTCGACGTCTTTGCCGTTGCCAAGCAGACATCGTGGGCAGTGGAGACACGAAGACGGCTTCACCTTCTTTTGCGGTAAAAGCACATAGCTGCCTATGCTTCGGCCACAACTGCCAGTGCATGTTCAGAGTGCTATGTCGGCAACGAGTTGATCGCAGTCTCTTGTTGACAGCGATCCGACAGCTGTACTGCACGAACTCGTGGCTTGTCGTGTTTTGCTTGAACAACCACAAGCGCTCATTGAGCTGTTTATGGCATCACGCTTCGAGCGGAGAAACCAGCGGCGTGGGACTAATGGTTGACCAAGCCACGTCGAGCAGCTGCAGGGATCAGTTCGTGCGATGTGCAGTATCGTGTGAGGAACGTGTGGGAGACGTCGACTTCGAGCGACCCGAAAGAGGGCGAAACGTATCGCACGTTCACTTGTGCGTTCCAATGCGCTCGCAGTGGCCGTAGCTGCGATACCCTCCGCCTTTGAACCAAAGCTGGTTGGAGCTTGCAACGCACAGGAGAATGCCGGCTGAAGCAGCTACAAAAGCGCGCCGATGCACAAAAACACGTCCGTATGGTCAATTGGATTGAGAGAGACCCATCTGCCTGCATAGCCCGCGCTCGTGAGCGATAAGAGGCCTGCAGGTCATCTTGAGCCGGGAATGTTTCGCCTTCAGATGATGCAGCGAGTCGGTTCACCTTGACGAACTTGGATGGCGCTCGGGACAGGCACTGGATTTCCTCTGCTGCGTTCGTCGATCTGCACGATCGACCCCTGCACCAGCGATGTCATCGTCCACTGACCAAACGAGCTAAATGCATTCACACCGGTCTTGCCACCGCAAGCCAAGACCTCTTTGCTATCGCTCATAGCGCCTTTCGTCACGCGAACCTGCCACATGGACGTGTCTTGCACTGTAACGGGTCAGTCTCACTCGAGCAAGCGATGGTGCTTGTGCTTTTTTCGTAGGCGGGCGCGTTACCACATCCAGAGTCAAGTGGATTTTTTTGTCGTGCCCTGGACAGCGCCTCCACCAGTGCTACTCCTGCGTCCGATTTGGTAAGGGGGATGGATACTCGTGTCCTCGACGTCTTCCACCGCGTCCAGCCTCCCCTTCATCACTTGATGATGTCCGCTTGCCTGCCGGTTCAGCTTTCAAAGCAGTGCAAATAGTTTTCAGGTGCTGGAACCATTGTCGAATCCCCCCTCCCCCGCAACTGCCTGATGCTCTGCACCCGACGCGGAGCCCGACCCGCGACGCAAGAGATCACACGAGCGAATGGTCTTCGGCGACAGGCAATGCGTTCACCCGTTGACGTCTCCTTAGACGGCGCCGGCTGATAAAAAACACCAGTGCTATCGTCACGATCGATCCACGAATTGCGGTCGCTGAAACCTCTTCTTCCCTTCCTCTAATCCATCCGCACGCTTGACTTGATGTTTGTATCGCGTGCCATTCGACAAAAGCGCACATCCGACCAACCGAATGGCTCTCGCACTCGCCCGTCTCGCTGCGCGTCGCGGCTTCTCTAGCGCTCACACACAGCGCACTCAGTTCGAGTCGCTCTGTCGGGAGCACGAGGAGCTGCTGCCTGCGTCGACTGTGACGAAGCGCTTGCTCGATTACCTGCTGGTGGCCCCCCAGGACGTCCAGCAAGTGCTCGCGGCCGACGCGATCCGTCCGCTGCCATACAAGACGCTGTATGCCCCGGCGCAAGTGCACCGACTCACGCCTCTGGTTCAATGGAGTTTCCAGCAAGTGATGACCGCTCCGGAGGTAGCCAATACCGTGTTCACTGCGCTGGAGCCGCACGCCAATATGGCCCGACGGGCCATGTGGCAGCAGTACTATCGACGCCAGTTCTTCCTGTCCGGAGCTCCCATGCGGGCGTACTTGCTGGCGTACAAGCACCACAAAGATCGTGTTGCAGCTACGCAAGGGGGACAAGGTGGGGTGGAAGGAGAGAGTGGAGGGGAGGCTCAAGAGGAGGTAGAGGCGAAAGGAGACGGCGACGTGTCTCTGAACAAGGACCTCGGCATGGACACCGCTTCGATCCTGACCGACAACAACGAGTGGGAATGGGTTCCATCGCATGTCGCCTTGAGTGTCGCCAGGGAGTTTTGCTTTCGTGGACGCTTCGATGAGGCCATTGAGGCCTACACGTCTTTGCCGTTGAGCATCCTCGCGCGCCAAAAAGTAGCGGCGATCTTGCATGACTATGAGCAGTACCCGTCTTTGCTTCGTATCTTCGAGATCCATCGTGCAACGGGAGACGCTGCGGTGCCACTAGACGCTGCACTGGAACTGGATGCGCTCAAAAAGATCGGTCGTGTCGATGAGGTGGACATGCGCTTCCAGGCACTGCCGGCCAAGGACAAATGCCGCGCGGATATCCAGCAACTCATGGAAACGTGAGTGCTAAGTGACTGCATCGTTCAGCACCATTTTGAAGTCTTCGCCGTCGTTTCGTTGCTCGAGAGCAAGGTGTGGGAGGCCATAACCCGTCGACATTCGGCAGTACCTCACAAGTAATTGTATCGCTGCTTGTCCAATCTGTCTTCGTCCCTATGTCTAAGAATTTACAAGACACTGGTGTCGATCGCCGGCAGACGCGGACTAAGTGGTCCATTGTGGCCATCGTGCGTGGCGATCGAACCTGTGTCTTCGATCTAGTGCCCACCTCATCGATACCCTTCGTCACAAAGTGGATGGCGAACAAACTAGTGGCCACAGCACTTGATAAACAGCGACACATGCACATGACAAAGTCAGCAGCGCCCGAGGAAACCTCGCCTGAAGACCGCATGCTCGCTGCTACCTACCTGTCGACGTAGCTTGTTCTCGGGACGTCGGCAAGATGCCAACTAGTCTGGATTCTGATGCAGAGCCGTCTCCTGTGCAGCCGCGCTGGTAGACTCACATTTTGCTGTGCTGCTGGACTCTGGTGTCCAGCACATCCCCACTCTGCTGCAGCTGAAGGTGTCATTGAGAGCACTGGCCTTACCTAGCGTATCGCTATCCTGGATTGTGTCTCCCGCATCGACGTCATGCAAAGCAGACGCAGACGAGTACTTACGAATGTCGGTGGCCGAGTCACAACTGAAGCAGAAGGTTCCAGGGGCCAGCGAGTCGGGACTTCGACAGATGCTTGCATCAGCGGCAGATAATGCTGCTAACTTACGCTGCTGCATGATGGGCTTCTCGGCTGGTAGCTGAGAAATGAAGTTTGTGAGCGATCTCTCGAAAGCGAGAAGCGTTGCAACTTGGACGAGACTGAACGCAAACACAACGTCTCTTCTGATCGAGTAGCAGACAAGTGCGTCGACGTCCGTCGTATTCGCTCGTGACTCCATTGATGATCCAGACTCTTGACAGACGCTGACAAGCATCGGTCGTGATGGTTTCTTTGCGCGACAGGTCTACCAAATGAACGTGAAAAAGGCAAGTCTCGTCAGCATTGTCAACGAATCGCTCACTGATAGCTCGAAACCACCGGGAACGCCATGCGCGCACACTTTTCTCGTTTGCTTCATCTTTTCTTTCCAGTCCGTCCGGAAGCGATTGCGGTGTGAAAGACAGCGAGGCTGCCATGACCGATTGAAATGGCATGGAACGCCCTCACTTTAGCTCGTGGAAACTACCGCAGATGAAGCTGAATAAGCACCGCCAGTGTCACGCATATCTCAGTTTCATCTACCCTGAAGGGTCCGCGTTCACGATTCACTTCCTCATTCACGCGATGTCCACTTACAAAATGAAAGCGCTGATAAACAACTTGGACGGCTCTGGCTGAGAAAACGGCAGTCGTGTACCCATTGCGAACCTACAACAGGATGCGTCCGTGCATGACTCGGATGGTGACGTAGTGGGGTGGAGCAGCGCCAACGTTGCCGATAATGATGGACACGCGTGACAGGCGCATCATTTGTCCGAGCTACGGATGCAGCAGCGACTGCCACAGAAGGTGCTAGTGCTTGCGACGTGACGTGGCAGGCTCAAACTCGCCGGCAGTACAAACACGTGAGCGTCTGATACGATCGTCCCCACTTTTTCTTCAATCAATAGAAAGCACGTGGCGATCCACGTGACGATCGAAGCGTGGCTGCGTGCAGTGGACGACAGCTGAATTCGGATCCAAAGTGAGACGTCGAGTTGGCCTGCCGGACGATGCCTCCCATGATATGGTAAGCGTAAAGAAGACGCAGCTTTCGTCCTGTGCAACCGCGTTGCGACCGAGGAATCGCATTGCGATCAGCACTGGATATGGAAGACCTTCGAGAAAAAAACGGCACAAGTCGGTGTGTGTGTGTGTGGAAAAGATCGTCAGCGTAACAGTTGCTCGAGTGTTCATGGATCTCTGCAAGCGGCAGATGTACCGCCGACGTCGACTGCTGTTTGGCCAGCACAAGGAGCCATCGATTCTTGACCGCCCTGCAACTCGATACAAACGTTCATCCAACCCGCACGCCGGAAAGACGCAGTTGACTGTATGTGACCTCGAGCTCGCTGGATCCCCATATATTGACGCAGCACCTTTCGGCTTCTTCTGTCTGCATCCGTTGCTGCGTTCAGCTCTGAAGATATCCGCTCTTCCTACTCACTCAGCTACTGCTTCCGTCGCGACGGCCACTGCCCCATGTGTACCGACACTTACTTCATTGCAGCCAACATCGATCGTTTGGTGCGAACGTAGGCGCTGCAGCTCCCACAGGTCCAGCAGAAGTGTATGTAGCCAGTGCCTGCTGCTGTTCGACAGCACCACGTCGGGGTGCGTGTCGTACCGAAAAGACTGCTCCATTCTGACGTTGACCACACCTGAACGAACCTATAGAAAATGCATGGACGAGAAGGGGGGGGGGGGAGGGAGGGCGAAGGCCCTCTTCAAACGGGAATTTGCGGCCCACGCCACAGCTGTCACTCGCAGTGAGCAAGTGAGTGTACCCATCCAGCAGTCACTCAGTCACTCAGCCAATCAGTCAGTCAGTCAGTCGGGCGAGAGCGAGAGCGAGCTCGACGAGTATGGCCCCCGCTGCCGAGGACGTGCTCGGGGAGCTGTACGCGTGGGACTCAGTCATCGAAGACGACTCGGCGCTCACGTCGGACGACCCGCAGCGAGACGAGGACAAGACCGAAGACGCGTACGAGCAGATCATCCACACGGCCAGTGGCGACGCGAGCGACGTGGTGCTCAGTCTCGCCGCGCAGCTGCTGCACAAGCACTTTTTCCGCTTCCCGCACGTGCAGATCAACGTGGTGGACGTGCTGCTCAAGCTCTGCGGCCCCACGCGGTCGCAGGCCGTGCGGATCCACACGCTGCGCGCGCTGCTGCAGATTGCGAAGACACCGCCAGCAGCGGCTGCAGCGTCGACGCCCACGTCGGCCGCGTGCATTGCGCGCAAGAACACGCTGCTGTGGATGCAGAACATCCACGACGCGGTGCAGCACATGCTGGACACCGAGAAGTCGTCGGTGATCCTGCGACAAGTGACGCCATTGCGTCAGGCGCTTGAGGAGCGACTGCCAGCGGCGGCGTCTGACGGCCAAGAAGACAAGAGCCAAATCAGCAGCACCCACGATGCCGTGGAGACCAGTGTTGCGAGCGGAGTCAGCAGCAACACGTCGCCTCGGGAGTCGACGAAGCAGCCGCGGGACGAAGCAGATGCAGACGACGGGACGGAGTCCACTTTACTGGACCAGCGGGAGTCGAAGAAAGCTAAACACGACGATAATGACGCATCGGACGCTATTGGGGTCACAGACAATAGCAAGGAAGGAAAGATCGTGCAGCTGAATCGCGAAGCCAACAACAGCGACCCGTCGATGGACTCGTGGAAGAAGACGTCGTCCGGCGGACGCCTGATCGAGGGCCAAGGCAGGCGACCGAAGTTCAACGCGTATTCTCCCCGCAATTGCCCGCCGTGCCCTTACCTGTTTCTCGGAAGCGTGCCTCGTCATACGCCGAATGAAGAGATTGTGGAGTACTTGTCACCCGTGTGGCCATCAATCGACGGCATGAGTGTGCAAATCAAACAGCCGGACCACAATGCGACGGCCTATGCGTTTGTGAGCATGCCGTCCATTGAACTTGCGCGCGAAGCGATTCACTATGTAGCTGCGAACAAGTTTCGCGGCCGGTCGTTTCTGAATGCTAATTTTGCTCGTGGCCCGCCGGTGGACACGGTGCTTTTTGTAGAGCGTACGGGTGACGATGTGAGTATGGAGGACAAGGACGCTGTTCGTGACTTTGACTTTTCCAAGTGCGACCCAGAGGTGTGGGACGTGCTGTGCCAGCAGCTGGAGAGCTTTGGTCCGTTGTCGTTTGCAGAGAACGGATGTGTGCGTTTTCGCAGCTCAGAGCACGCCAAGGCAGCTATCCGCAAACAGTTGTTCACGGTGAAGGGATACGAGATTTACCCGGTGTATGACACGAAGGAGCAATTTGCAATTGATTCTACGCGGCGTGGATCCAACGCGCACAGTAAGCAAGGCTTTACTTTGAAGTCGGGAAGGCTTGGTAAGATTTGTGCAGTGTGTTGGCTCTCGTGTTATGTTGTACCGACGCGGTGATTCTGACTTGCCTTCGCTATTTTGTAATAATGTGGCGCAGTCGGAGGAGATTCAGATTACCGCGGCCGTAAGAACCACCACTTTATGGAAGACGATGATGTTATGATTGATCCGAGTAAACGACGTGAGCATCGTCGAGTTGCCTCGTCCAAGTACGGTGAACGCGGTCACAGTCCTCCTCCAAGCGATCGTAAGGGCGCACGTGTAGAATCACGTTCCCGCTCACCAGAGCATCGTGGCGGGGGTGGCGGTCGCTACGGTTTGTCGATGAGCGGATTGCCGATGGATTATCGGCTGCCTCGCTCGCGTTCCCGGTCCCCAGTGCCCTTGTCGAAGAAGCATATGTTGCACGATGACGGTGGGTACGGCATGCCTCCCCACAAGATAAAGCGCCGTGAGTCTCGTGGTAAGTATGGCCGCCATTCGCCTTCTCCCGCGGATGTCAGAAGTCACGGAAGTCCGATCTCTGCTGACGAAGTACGTGGACGACCTCGCGAGCGCGAGGGGCCCTGGCTGGACCCTCGGTACACCAAAACTTCACGTGACCGGCGTGGTCCCCGAGAGGTTGGTCGTGGGCGAGGCAATTTCCGTGGCGCTTCGCCTTCGCCTTCCTCCTCTCCTAGACATAGTCGAACGGATGATCGTGGAAATCGGCGTGTGAGTGACTACAAAGGTGGAGGCGCTGTTGAAGGCGGACGTCATACGCACCGACGTGCTGATGCGCTACAGGAGGGTCGTGGTAGAGAGCATCCACCCCCTGCTCTGTCTAGTGGCGTGCTAAACTTGCCACACGACCATAGCGTCAGTCCACCACGGTTTGGGAAGTACGCGGCTGGATCATCGAAAAGCCGCCTCCGATCACGTTCGCGATCGCCTCATGAAGATGTGAGACTGGGGATTGTCTCGAATCCACGATCCGGTGGACGCGACGAACGTTCCATTGGAAATCAGCTTTCGAACGAGCGCCGGCCTGCCCAGCCGGAACGTGCACGCTACGCGGACGATCGCTCTATTGCTGAAGTTGCCCGCGATGAGCAGCAAGAGCGCCAGCGCTTTTTCCAACAGCAACAGCAAGGTCGCCGCGACTTCCATGATTCTGCTATCAGCCGCTATGGTACGGGCCGTGGAGGCGGCCGAGGTGGAGGTCGTGGTCGCGGCGACCGGTATCATGCGCAACAGGGTTACAAGGGCGGTCGAATTGGGGCGATGTACCGCCATGACTTACCGCCGCCGAAGGGCCGTTCGCCTTCTCCCCTCGCGCCGCCTACTTTCCATCGTTCAGTGTCTCCACCTCTCCGCGACTGTCGACGCTCGCCTTCCCCTGGCCAGCCTCCGCAACAGCAGCGTAAAGTGTACGGCCGCGAATTCCGCGATGAGTTTGTACCGCGCGACCGTAACTCTGCGTTCTTACCACCGCCGTCACCACTGCTCGAGAATTCTTTCGTGCCGGGATCTGTGGCCCTTTCTGACCGTGACGAGTTTGATTTGGAGGCTGTCGACCGCATGCATCGTGCACCTAGTCGTTATGAGCGACGCCATCACCCGCACCGCGATCGAAGTCGGGAGGACAAGGGTCACCGCAATCACCGTGATCTTCGAGAGAAGCGTTCGTCTCGGTCAGAGCGCTCAATGGCTTCGTCTCCGGTAGGTCGGGATCATCCTTCTGTTTCCAGTGGGAGAAAGTCGAATGGGCATTCTCCGCGTCGTTCGTTTACCCGCCGCACTGAGAGTGACAATCGTATGGAGGAAGCTGTCGAAGAAGGCAATCAGAATCGGTCCAGCAAGAAAGACGATGAGATGCACCACCATGAGAAAGAGGTGAAGAACAAAGGTGCGCGCTTGACGCGTGACGAATTGTTCGCGGGCATGGATGACTTGACCGTGGACTATGAGGAAGACGACGAGTAAGGTGGCGCAGCTCGCACTGATGGTGCATTGAAAAGTGACCGTGCGTAATCGATGCGACAGGAGATTGTGAAGTCGTCGGTTGGAAATGCATGTATTGACTTGAATTGGTTGACTCGATTACTTCTGCGAGGCCTCAGCACGAATCATCCAGCGTGAAGTACGCCCTGCCTCGGTTGCCCTGACACGTTTCATCGCCAGGAAGATGCCGGGAAGACCTGTATTGCCTTGTAATAAGTGCGTATCTGCTTGACGCTTTGACTCAATTTTCCGTGGCACCCTTCCTTGACCTCGGCTTTGACGAATACACTCGAGCTGCGAGGTTTAGAAGACAGGTCTGATGCAACTGCAGATGCTGAGCAGTTCGAGTAAGCAGCAATACTAGCACGAGCTCGCTTCATCTGATGTGAAGCTTGAAACGGAACGGCACGCCTTCCTCAATGGCTCGTGTTTCGAACAGCGTGTTTGCGGGAATAGTTCGCCGGGTGCCCATGCGAGGCAATTGTTGAACGAATAGAAGCTACAGAAGTGTAGATGTGTGAAACGATGTAACTGCGAAGGTGCTCAGTGTATGCCGCAAGCGAGCAGCGATTCTCCCGGGGATGTCACGTCTGCATAATGCGAATCATGAGAAGTGGGAAGTATGTGTTGCAACGACGCACTCGCAATATGGTCAATGTACAACTGTGGAGACGGCGTGCCACTTCCTTCGTTAGCATCTCTTTCCTCGATGGTATTGGGACTCGCGAGTCGCGTGTTATTTATTCGTAATTTATTGCACTTGATCATTGTCGAGTATACTGTTTACTCCCGACCCGGTGCAAGCAGCGTAGTCAGTGTCCCTCGACCACATATGGAAAGTCAGGTTATGTGCTGCGCGTCGAAGTCCTTAGACACCACCGCACTGGCGGAGGCGATGGATTCACAGATGCCATCATTGCCGGCTCGATGATTTGGAGGCTCGAAATGACGCGTGTGTTGGTCGCAATTGATCAATCCCGTATCGTTCAACCCGTCGATGTCTACGGTTCATAACCGCTCGACTAGTGGATGTCTGCGATACAGACATCGCTCGACTAGTGGATCTATATATCTACGATACAAGCAGTAGCGTAGTCAATTCACGTGTCATGTATGTAATGGACATGGTCAAGATCAAGCGCTGGCTACCCCGCATCGACTCGAGGTGCACGTGCGTCGGAAGAACGATGAACAGGGTGTCGGCGAACCAGCCAAACGTGCTTAATGTACTGTAATTGTAGTGGTCGAAGTCAGCGGCGCGAGTGGGAGTGGCTTCGGCTACGGGCAAGACGACTGTAGTTCGCTAAGGCTGACAAACACGATCAACGACGCCCGCCACTTGAGCACTGGCAATTCGGCCACTCTGCAACCGCTTCCTCCTCGGCTTCCTCCATTTCAAGACTATACACAGCTGCTGTACTAATTGCCACTTTCGACCGCGTGCTCGTAAGTTAGTCGTAGAACTCCGCAGCATGGCGTGGAGCGTCGCTTTGCTTGAGCTCTTGCTTTACCTGGTGCTCACCTGAAACGTCCATCATATACTGGTCGTCCTCCTCACGGTCCCGCGCAGTAGCTTCCTTTTCTTCTTGTATACGCGCTGACGGCGGCGCAACCGTAAAGGGAACACTAGGAACGGCCTCGATCTGACGGAGGTTCTCGTGGATAGAACGCTTGATATCATCGAGGTATGCTGGTGTGTTGAGGTTCTCCATGTTGCTCACAGGCAAGTGCAGGCGGTACTCAGGGCCATAGTATTCGAAGTAGTCGTTGTACGGCATCGCGTCCGGGATATCGACGCCCACTAGTAACGAAGCCTCGTAGCACCAGGCACGCGCGACATTGCGTAGTGTGTAACCTCCGCCGCCAACAACGAGAGTAGGAATGTTGAAGCTCTTGACATAAGCCACGCAGTCAGCATGGCCTTTGGCCGACAAGTTGAAGCTGCCAAGCCGGTCACCCGACAGCGAGTCTGTACCACATTGTAGTAACACAGCACCCGGTGCAAAGTGCTCCATAACTTTTGCAATGACGCTTCGAAAAATACCCGTAAAACTCTCGTCGTCCATACCGTCGCGGCAAGGGAAATTCACCGCGTAATGTTTACCGTCCCCGTAGCCGATATCCTTGATATCTCCTGTACCAGGGAAAAATTCCCCGTACTTGTGGAACGAGCACGTCATGACGCGGTTGGTGGTGTAAAAGGCCTCTTCGACGCCATCGCCGTGGTGGATATCAATGTCGATGTACAAGACGCGCTGGTGGGTCTTCAGTAGCTCCAGGATACCCAGCACACAATCGTTTACATAACAAAAGCCGGACGCCTCAGAGCGCTTGCCATGGTGTAGTCCACCCGAGTAATTTATAACAATATCAGCCGAGCCCGCGTTCAACTTGGCTGCACCGCCGATTGTAGCTGATGCGTAGAGCTGGCAGAACTCGAAAAGACCATCAAAGACCGGGCAGTCCTCACCCACGTTAAAACGCTGCAGCTGGCGCAAGTACTCGTGCATGTTGTCCGGCGTGACGAGACGCAGAAAGTGGATGTAGTCGTCCGAGTGGAAGCGAGTGAGTTCTGTCCAGTCCACGAGGCGAGGACGCTGTCGACACACCAACGAAGAAGCAGACAACGTTAACTTCGTGCAGTGCATACACTTGCAAACAAAGCGATTGCGCAGGGCGTACATAGACTTCCATGTGCTTCGTGAGGCCGTAGTTCGTAATGAGGTTGTGCGCCATCCGCACGCGATGAGGCTGCAGGTCACACATGCACGAGAGTGAGAGAAAGACACGAGAGAGAGTCAGCAAGTTGCAACAGACGAGACGATCGCGCCACCGTATGTGGCTACCACATGTCGCAGCAATACCTTCATCGGATGGTTCTGCCCGTAATGGTAATTGCCGATCTCCGCTGTTGCGTCAACGCACGAGAGGAAGTTGCAGAGCAAAAGACACGAACGTTGTTATGGTAATCAGATGGATACGCTGCAACGACCGACAGTCGAAACGTCAGAGCAAACGCAGGAGACCGTACAGTCATAGAAGTAGGCGACGCGGCGCTTCGATGCGACAGTCCCACCGCTCGTGAGCGCCACGGAGCTGCCATTGGCGCTGCTCATGATCCTACTGCCTGCACTCGTCCGACTCTCGCTCTCGGTGTTTCTCGATAGCACTTAGGGGGAGCACTGTATGTGGTGTGGTGCACGTGAACTGGCGTGGCAGACCGCATCGACCGCCAAATACTTCCGCAGCCACCCAAACCAGAAGGTCTTGAGCAGCAGCCAATCGCCTTGTCGGAAAAACGACGTGCAGCACGTCGTCACACCACTAGTCGATCGAACGATCGCAGACAACCCGACGCCGCAGCAGGAGATGGCGGAGAAGACGCACGAGGCGACGGGACGCGGCCCTCAGCTTGCCGAAGATGTCACGGAAGAGCTGGCGCAGCTGACGGTAGCGGCCGTCGAGGACAACGACAACGAAGGAGACAACGACGGCGACGACGACGACGACGAGTTGGCCAAGCTACCGAAAAAAGTGCTGCTACGTGTGGAGGCGCTGCGCAAGCTTCATGAGGCTCAAGCTGAAGTCGAGGAGGAGTTTGAGAAGGAGCGCAAGGCGCTCGAGCTCAAGTACGAGAAGCTGTACCAACCGTTCTACCAGCAGCGCGCCGATATTGTGTCGGGAGCGAAGGAAGTGGATGCTGTCGCAGCCGCTGATGCTGAGTCCCTGCCGACGAGCACTGAGTCTGGGGAGGAAGAGGATGTGAAGGGCGTGCCTGGCTTTTGGCTGCGTGCGTTCATGAATCACTCGGCCTTAGCTGACCTCATTCATGAGCGTGATTTGCCCGCGTTTGAGTTCTTGAAGGACGTGCGATCGACCAGCCACGAAACGGACAATGGCTTTAAGCTCACGTTTGACTTTGCTGACAACCCTTTCTTTTCCAACAAGACGCTGACGAAGGAGTACGACATTGGGGACGCTTCGGAACAGGGCGAGGCCGTGCTGCGCAATGTGGCGGGCACTGTGATTGAGTGGAAAGAAGGCCAGAATCTGTGCCAAGTGACCAAGAAGGTGAAGCAGCGTGCGAAGGGTGGAAGGAGCGGATCGCGTGTCGTGAGCCGCACGGAGCCTTGCGAGAGCTTTTTCCAGATTTTCGCTCCCGTGGAGATGCCGTCAGAAGAAGACGACGAAGATGTGAGTGGTTGCATCTCTGCTCTGCTTGTATTGCGAAGCCCACTTACTGACTGCACGTGTGTTTATACTTGTTGCAGAGTGAGATGATTATGCGCCAGCTGAGCGACGACTTTGAGATTGGCTTTACGATCCACGAGACGATCATCCCGCAGGCTTTGTTGTGGTTTACTGGCGAGGCCGTGGAGAATGACTCGGACTACGATCCGGAGGAAGAGGAGGACTATGAGGAGTCAGACGAGGAGTCGCTCTCGAGCGACGAGGCCCCCAAGCCTCGTCGAGGCAAGAAGAAGTTCCCTGCACTCGAGAGCGACGCGGCCTCGACGGAGAAGCCACCAGAGTGTAAGAATCAATGAGGTGTGTCAGGCGTCGCCCCCGATAGAGTCCGCGCGGTCAGTTGAGAGGAGCGAATGTATAACGTCACTTGACAAGCGAGTTGCCCACTGTAGCGAACGAACGGCGCGCGGTGCCGAACGTGCTGAACGTGCAGAACAGATGTGTAAGAAAGAACGGGCAACGACGTCTTGTTGCCACACGGCCGCTCGCTCAATCGCTCGCGTTTGTCCCATCCATAGGTACATCGATCGCCTCTTTCCAATTGCGCTTTTGACATTCGGTCGACTTGTCCTCTCCCTCCGCTCGGTCGGTCGCTCGCTCGGTCGGTCGGTCGGTCGCCACTTTCGCACACTCGTCCACTCTGTCTCTTTCAAAGACGCCGTCCACGAGTCCGCCCGCCGCCGCTCGCCATGTCGGACGCCTCCTCGTGCCGCCTGCCGCGCGACTTGGGCATCTTTGACTTCTTCCGCAGCCGCTCGTTGTCGCTGGGCCGTCGCGAGTCGCACCGCCCGACCTCCCGCGCGCCCGTGCGCGAGCCAAAGCCCGCGCGGCACTCGATCGCCGCGTCGTCGTCGATGCCGCCGCCGCGCGCACCCGCTGCGGAGCTCCTGGACGTCTCGCAGACAGCAGCGGCCTCGTGCTCGGCGTTCGTGCCGCCGCTGTCGGAGATTGCGCACGCGACTGCGACTTCGGTCGACTCGCTCAGCACGAACGACCACTTGAGCGACGACGACAGCGACAGCGACAGTGACACTGGGACGGCCTCGACGGGCGACTGCAATAGCGAAAGCAGCTGCAGCAGCAGCGCCCTGGGCAGTGCGATCGTCAAGTACGAAGTCGTGCACGAGCTCGGCCGAGGGCGACGGCTGTCGTGCAGCTCGCTCGGCAGCGCGACGGAGAGGAGTTGGTGGCGCTCAAGGTGTTCAAGACGTCGCTGCTCAAGAAGATGCGCGACGTGAAGCGCGTTGGGCGGCGGATGGTCGTGTCGACGGCGCTGGACAAGGTGCAGATGGAAATCGCCATCATGAAGAAGCTCCACCACCCGAATCTGTTGAACTTGTTGGAAGTGTTTGACGACGATGCCGAGACGCTCGTGCTGATGTTGGAGTATGCGCCGTCGGGACAAGTGATGCAGTGGTACCCTGACGAGAAGGTGTACAAGAAGACTGGCGGCCAGCGCGAAGCTGCTTGCTTTCGTGAAGACGAGCTACGCGTGTGTGTGCGACAGCTGCTGCTGGGGCTGCAGTACCTGCACGAGAACAACATTTGCCATCGCGACCTCCAAGCCGGAGAACATCCTCGTGGGCCAGGACGGCACGTACAAAATCTCAGGACTTTGGCGTCGCGCACTTTTTCGAGGAAGAAGACCGAGCAGCCAAGCTCACAGTCTTCTTGTGGGCGAGGCGTCTGTAGCGGCATCAAAGCCGCATCGGAAGGGTTACGTCTCGACAACCGCCGGCACCTATGCGTTCATGGGCCCGGAGACGCTCAAAGGGGGCGAGTACAGTGCCTATGCAGCCGACATTTGGGCGCTGGGCGTTACGGTCCACGCCCTGGCGCTTGGCGCGATTCCGTTCTACGATCCAGACGTTGCCAGACGCTCTTCGAGATGATTGAGAGCAGTCCAGTGGCGCTGGAAGAGAAGGCAGGAGGACACCGGCTCTTGGCGAAGGGCTGGTCGAGCGCTAAACGGTTTGCTGGAGAAGGACCCCGACAAGCGCTGGTCGCTGCAGAAGTGCAAGGAGCATGCGTGGGTTCTACAAGGCCTGTCGGATAAAGAGCGGGAAGGAGTACGTCGAGACATGTTACGAGGCGGTCACGGTGGGACCAGACGAGCTCGCGTGCCGTCACACGCGTGGTATCGCTGAACGTGATCCTGCGCGTCAAACTGGGCGCCAACAGAGTTGAAGCGCAGGGCGATGCAGACACTCAGGGTTTAAGCGGCGGCGGTCGCTGGAAACGGGCCACGAGGACAGCGACAAGTCGGACGCGTCTCGGCCGTTGGGCTCGTCAGTCCACCCGCAATCGCCTAAACCGATCGAGAAAAAGAGGACCAGGCGTCGACTACGGCTGCTGAAGTCTCCAGCGCTCAGCTCGCCATTTAGCAACGACCCCTGTGGTGCCGTGTCGTTGTTCGTACCCAATTTGTAAGAA